TTTTTTACACCATATAACCTCTAATTGTAACTACAGCTGGCCTCTCTCTCCACAAAAGAACAAATGGGAGATATCTGACACACAAACATTGTATTGACTGTTGTATGAAATCTTGATCTCATTGGGCAGGCTCACTCTGACAGCAAAGGAATGGTTTCCTGTAGTCCTCAATCTGGACCTTAGAACATCCAGAAGGGTCCTACGTGAGAATCTCAGAGTCAGTCCAAAGACAAAATCCTAAAATCCAATCTATTGAGTAACTAGTGAAAAATGCTAAATCACTCCTCCTACCAGTTTCAAGGCCTTGCTGCCACATTTCTTTCCAGTGCTCATACCATGTGTTATTGTTGTTTTAAACTCTTCAATGTGGACCACTTTTGGTAAAAAAAAAACAAAAAACACAAGTGTTCTCACCCGGCAGTGAGTCATAGCCTGAGTCAGTGCTCCAGCTTGTGTAGTTCACAGTGTAAACAACACCAAACATGTGGAGCAGTTCAAATGCTACAGAAAACACAGAGGCTAATGAAACATTATGTGGAGAAGGTTTTTTAGTGCTGCAGTTCTTTACATATTTACACATACAGCACATACATATAGGCCATTTTAGAGGGGTCTGAATTTCTAAACAAAATTTCATAGGAATTCATCGAACAGTTGTTGAGATATTTCAGTGTGGACCAACTGATATTGCTCTGTAAAAAATCTTGTTTTGCATACTGGTAGTGCCTTCACAACTAGCATTACCTTTTACTAGATTAAATTACTCATGAGACCTAAGAGAGCAGAAAAAAAACAGTGTCAGTGTCAGAAGAAAAACTCTGACCTCAGAAACCTCATCTGTTGTCAATTATTTAGTAACACTAATTGTAATTTTTTAATGCTAGAGAACTTAATTTCCTTCCATTAGTCTCTTTTCTAAAGCATTAGAAAGAAGTGGGTTTAAAAATAACCTGTCTAATGTTAACATTCTGGCATCTCATAAATTACTGGGATTAAATTAGCACACCACTGTTTTGCTAAGCCTTTGTGTATCTGTGTTATCTGCCTGTGTGCATACTGTATCAGCTTTTATATTGCTGTGCACATTGGGGGCTACTGGCCTGGAGTCAACTTCCTTGTATTTTTGACAATACTTGGCAATAAAGTTTATGCTTATGCTTACAGCACATATCTGTGAGTGATACACAACTTACAAGACAATTGCTTTACAAAAAGAATCACTTTCTTTCAACATGAACAACCTGGCCAGGAAAAATGCTAATAAGTAATCATAGCCAATATGTGTAAACCATTACATCACCACTTCATTACACCTCTGCTTTCCCTTCCAGTCTGTGTCTTTCTCTCTCTGTCCATGTCTCTCCTTAAAAAAGGCGTAGCTTAGGAGTAATGTGCACAGGTTACCCTAGACACATGTATATGCACACACTCAGTAGTACACTTGCAAGTCATTTAAAGTGGATCTCAACCTGAACTGCAGTTTGAACATTAAATAGGTTATGATACACTTGCACATATATTTAAAATCCATCAAATTCAAACAACATCTTTAGTTTTCTGTAGCTACTGCTTTAAATGTTTAGTGAAGCTGACACTTAAATATATTCTGATGCGAGTTCACAACAATTTCAAAAGCTGCTTTAGTCTTATCTCTTGTTACCTCCAGCATGGGTGGGGGTTATGTTTTTGCCAGAGTTTGTATGTTTGTTAACAGCATAACTCAAAAAACTTTGATGATTGAGGTAGAGTATGGCCCACAGAATAACTGATTAAATTTTAGTGTGGATCCATGTCATTATTTGATACAGGGATATTCTATCCATCCATTATCTATACTGCGTATCCTAAGGATATCCTACAGGCAATTTAGAGTCGCCAGTAAACCTTAAGATGCATGTCTTAGGACTGTGGGAGGGAGCGGGGGTACCCGGAGAGAACCCACGCAGGCACATTCAAACTGCACAGAAATGCACCGGGTTGGCTTGGCCAGGGCTTGAACCTTCTTGCTATGAGGCGACAGCGCTAACCATGCCACCTGATACAGGAATATTTTGAAAGATTATTAACCCCTGTGACTAGTGGAAAGGCTGCTGACTGTATGTGAGCCTACTTGTGACCAACATGCACAGCTGCACTGCTGAACACATACACACAACTGGGGAAAGATCTGCTCTATACAGTGACAGCCAGGTGAGCCTGATGGCAGAGATTTGGAGCTAGGCTCAAAGCTCATTTTCACCCGTAGGATGGGTACTAGGCCATTTTATCACATTTTGACAAAGTAACCACTGAGATTGAGAATTTGTGGTCAGCCTGGCCAGGTAATGCCAATTTAGAATTTTCTCCAACATTTTCAGAGATGTGGGTGCTTGTTATCCAAACAAACTAGCTCTATTAGCAGGCAGCTACATTTGATTCAGCGCACAGTGGTCTGTCAGCAATGATGCCAGTGATCCAGCTGCACATTATAACTGTGTTTCTTTTGTCGGAGTCTACTGAGCAGTATACCCCATGTTTTCCTTAACTATCACCCTGCATAACCTCACAGGGTGACGTAGACATCCTACTTAGTTTTCACTATATTTTTCCTATATTGTGTCCACACACACACACACACACACACACACACACACAACTGAGCAAAGGATGTGAAAGATCACTCCACAGTGCAACAACCAGTCATAACACAGACTGTATGAGCAGTTTATCAAACAGCAGTTGGACAAGTAGAACACAAACTTGCAGAACTGTGACGTCTGCACCACTGTGCCTGCAGTCCACTCACTGAAGTCCCCTTTTTACCCCAAAACCAACAAGTGCATGTCTGTTGTTTTTCTTGAATATCTTTCAAACTAAAAGTGACATCAGCGGCATTCCAAATGCCAACAGTAGGTTTTCATGGCCAAGCAATTATGAGGGTCAAACTATCATGGGAATATTGCTTTTGTGACAAAATGAGAAACTGAGTTGCCCTGTGGTAGAGGTTTGGATGCTCTAACTGCACACTAGTTATTACATAATGTGATAATATTGGTCCAAACTGTCAGAGTTTAAACCATGGCATAAGCCTGATTTTATTCTTGCAGTTATTTGTCACTCTGAGTTCTATTGGTGGAGAATTTTGTTTTTTTAGTCAGCATGCAGATTTCATCTGTGGAAAAAGATCATGAAATGTTAGCTTTTCCCTAATTCATAATAATAATTTATGATAATGATTTTTATTATGTACTTTGCCTGTTCATTTTGCACTTGAAAAATATGCTTTGCAGCTAAATCAGTTGAAAAACTGCCACACTGAGTACATTGCCAACATAAAGACTCTGTTTATGCTTAATTTCAGGATTTTACTTCACACTCAACACCGTGTGAAACATCCCAGCAGACCAGCAACACTTCTTGGTTCGGTACTTTTACAAACACTCTGAGGTGCAGTAACTTCATGGTCCAAGTTGTGCTAATGACTCCAAACTGATGGCTTCATGTTAACCTCAGTGGGCCACGGCAGGAGGGGAAAACAACATGGAAAATATTTACAGCAGTGGGAAACTGTTCTGAGTGAGAGCTTCTCAACATTGACACTGAGAGGAAAAGAGTGTGTGGATGCGTGCCAGTGTGTGTGTGAGAAAAAAAATTGAGGCACATTGCAAGATTGCGAAACAGTAAAGCTGGAGCTGTTCATTGTAACAGGAAATGGGAGAGCTGTTTGAGGGCAGCATGTTTTTGACCCTGTGACCACTCCCAGTCATGAGAACCATGAGAACCAAGTCTCGGGCCACGTCTTTAAGACATCAGCACATGCTTCTGCATGTACACACACATTCAGTGCAAGATGAGCAAAATACATATGAACTAAGGCAGAAAAAAGAGAATAAGTCCACAAAGGAAGGAGGAAGATTATCATACCTTTCCACCACTGCATGTAGACCTGTGCCAACTCTGCAGTGCATAAAGCCCCACCACACCCCAAAAATAAGCTGGCCACTTATGTTTTGGTAAGAATTTCATACACGACCTTCCCCTTATTCACACTCAGTTTAAAGCATATATGAAGACAAAAGCCCAAACAGCCCAAGTGAAGAGAAGAGTAGGAGAATAAAAAGGATTGTGATGAAAAAACTATCTGTGCACTTCTCTGCACCTTTTGTTGAAATTATTTAATCCTTACAAGTTCTATAAGAGGTTCTTTAGCTTTCCCAGAAATACTTTTGTGTATAATGTGACTCTCACAAGGTCTGAAAACACAACAATGACAGACTGGAGAAAATCCAGGTGGGAGAAGCGGAGTTGTACTACATGATCCCCTTCCCTCAGCTTGCCTTTGTGCAAGCCCATGATAACTGCTCCAGCTGTAGGCTGTAATGTACCGATTTTATACTGGATGACTTCCAGGTGTAGATGTCAGACTCAGGTCACTACTCACTCTATAAAAGCTGTAAATCTTCCAGCAAGGCTCCAACATCTCCACACACTCACCTCACGATGCCCACAGTAACTGCATGCACAGTCAGTTTTAAGATGTACAACTTTTTGGGTTGAAGAATCAAACGTACAGTTTGCTGAGCCCGGTTGGCCTGAAAAGAAACTTTCAACAGATGTGTTTTCTCGCATACAGTGTATTTACCTCATTTACCAGAATTAAACAGTGTGCTTAGTCTGCTGATTGCTGCATGTTCTACAGAACTCTGATATAGGCTTTTTATAATATTAGGTTAAACTCAAATTATGGATGGAGTTGAAGAATAGGCAAATTCTGTTTAACCATTTATCTGTAATCTATATAATATGTTTGCGTAATAGTGAAGAACTGGTTATAGAAAAAGGTAGAAAAATGTAAAGCACTTGTGCACTTATTGCTTTTCAATGTCTATATATACATATAATTACGCTGATTACAAACTGGACTGTTGACTATTAAAGTGTGACAAGAACTGCCTGAAGAATATAAACCACAAAAGAAGAAACTTATGCAGTACACAAAAATTACAATTTGAAAAGGTTACCTCTGATTTGCACACAACGTAAGAGTGAGGGCTGGATGGCTGCACTTTCCTTTGAATCCACCTCCGCGGAGAGAACAGTGCACTGGTGCTACCAGATGGCGCAGCACTGGGACCCCTCACCAGAAGTGGTAAATCTCCGGTTGTATTCCTTTTGGCACGTTTCACTATTTCATAGTCAAAGTGGAAGTTGGAGGATGGTGAAACATCCAAAGGTATGGAGGGAGAGGAGAGGGACGGGCTTATGGCTTCTTTTACTGTCGGAATCTTGGTGTCTAAAGACGGTTTCACGTCCAAGCACTCCAGAGACGCACCTGCATCTGCAGCCACCGGTCCAGAAAACAGTACTTCACATGTTCCATCTGATCCAGTGCCATAGTGTCCTATGATAGCAGGATCCAGGCTCCGGGTTTGGCGTAGTCTCTGTTTGTTTACGGCTTTGGAAGCAGAAGAGGAGCAGGAGAAAACACTGCTGAGTAGTCCTTGAGCGGCAGACATGTCTATTATTTTGGATCTCACATCAGTGCTACTCAATACCTCTGTTTAACATTCCAACAAAAACTTGGTGTTGCCCCCATGAAGTTCCAAATACAAGCTGGTGAAGAACTGGAATGTGTTGCATTTGGCTGCAGATAGTGCACACTGTGGAGAAAGAGAAAGTCAAATCTTCTTTTCCTCTACTGTGTGCCTCTGCATGTTGGTCATCGTCAGATTGGAGTGGAGTTAAAGGCATGGTGAGACTCTGTGAGTGTGTGTGGTGGGTGGGGGTGGACCTGATATTAATGCTTGCAGATAATTTTCTTCTCTTTTCTCTGAAACAGTTAACTCTTCTTTTACCCTACTAACTTTGTTTTCCACTGCCTGTCCAATTAAAAATATGAGAAAAGTTGTTTCCATAAGCTTGTTTTGATAAGGTTGATTAGGCATGTAAACAGTTGCAGTAATCAGACAAGCAAGAGGTGCATTTAGACAGACATGACTTAGCTGGTATGAAAATAGGTGTATTAATCCTTCCCTCCTATTAATCTGCCTTGTTGTCTGTGAACAGACTTATCAGCTAAGCCTGCTGTGTGCAGTTATAAGCTAAACAATGACTGAGCCAATGATTGAGGATTAATAGCCAGTGCTTTAATTTATATACATGTGAATGAGTTTGTATGCCAAAAATTTGTTTACGCAAATGCTAGTGGAGAAGCTTAGTAATTTACGTGTATGAGTGTGTGCATTTGTTTTAAATAGAAAGGAGAATGTGTGTGAGAAAGAGACACCACAAGAGCAGGAGAGGGAGCATGTGTGGCCCAGTGTGTGAAAGTATGGAAAAAATTAAAAGAGGACAGCAAGAGTCTGGAGAGGACAGTGCTGCCCAGCTGATAAAGGAACTCATGAAGCTGCACAGCATGACACACACACATACAAACAACACAGCTTGACATTACACTGATAACAGCTGAGATAGACTTGACGCTTCTAAAAACAGGCTGCTGGGGAAGAGAGTGAGACAGACTGAGAGAAAACAGAAGCAGGAAGAGTAAAAGAAACTTGGAAATTTACTAATGTACTCATTTAAAAAAGAATATTGAAAGAAGGTAAAACTTAAGGCATCATTGCTGAGAGGTGTGCCCGTACTAGTTGATCTTGGGTAAAGCCAAAACAACTGTAATATGAAGGAATAGTGCATAATTGAAAAACTATTATCTGGATATGGGCACTTTGAGATAGTGTGGTGGTCAACACTAGTGCTCTCCAAACAGGGGTTTGTGGGTTGAAATCCAAATGTGTAAATGCGTGTAATGGAATTTAGGTTTCCTTTATTGTTAAGCTAGTAAGACTGTTCCATAGTTATCACACTGTCAAATAATGGCAGATATATGGTGGTAACATGACTTAACCCAAACCCTTGTAAAATGAAAAATTACAAGCAATGCAAACCTTCCTATGAGACTGAAAGATGGTCTAGTGGGTCTAGTGGTGAGCACTGGTGTTTGCTAGGTACTAGATGAGAGGTTTAACTCTCCTTTGGTGCATTTGTTTACTGTGGTTTGCATTCCTCAGTGTCTAAACTGAGACTGTTCCATAATTATAACACTGTCATTGTCCTGTAACTGCTGATATATAACATGATTTAATCCAAACCTTTATGAAATGAAACTTTACAGGCAATGGAGCCCCCATCAGTAAAGCTATTGAGACTTTGAAGCTCTAGCATCAAACTTAAAGGTGGCCCAGTGGTCAGGTTAGCACTGTTGTCTTTCTTTCAGAAGGTTAGTGATTCAAATCCACATAGGTACCTGGTACTGAAATTTTAATTCCATTTGGTGTGACTAATGGGAGTATATGAAAATAATGTTGATTTTTGGAATATGACAAAATACATTTAAGCACTGATTATATTAGGATTTCCATTACTTAGACACATTGGTAATTCTTTACACACCTTCCCTGAAGTGCTAAAAGCCCCCAAACCAACAAGCCACTAACCTTTTATCATATTTGGTATTTTTTTAATATAATTTACTAACTTTCAGCATCCAACTAGAGAAATCTGTGTACCTGTGCCCCCTCAAGTTGAATGGACGTGTCTTTTTCCATTTAAGTTGGCAGCTTTGCTAATCAACCAGATTCAGTGTACCTGAGTTGTTTGCTAACCTTTCACAACATTAAAACAAGAAGTCAACCAGTCTTGCACCATTCTGGGATCATAGACCCTCAATTATATCAGCAGATTGTGCTCTACAAATGCCATGGCACATATGAAAGTGGCTTGAAAAAAGTGCAAAAGCTGCAAAATATCTCTGCGTATTTTCTGTAAACAGCTCTACAAGTTCATGCACTTTATATGTCGATGTTTTATTTATTTTTTGCTGCTCAGGCTGTAGCTACATGCAAGTAACATGGTGTTTGTCTGCTGGCCTTAGTAAAGGGGCCCATTTTTTCCTTGGACCAATAAATTGAAGCTGGGGCATGTCAAGTTCATTTTTTGTAATGTATCTTCTAGGAGACTACTTGTCAAAAGACCTGGCAGTGGCATCAGCAAAAAAGTGGTTTGTGGTTTTGAAGATGCCAACAATGTTTTCGCGTAATTTCATGTGGGTTCAACAGGAGCTCACAGTGGCCAGAAAGAAACCCAAAAAACAACTGGCCTGGAATGAGCATTGACATCAATAAGTGGGTAAGAATGTGCCAGGTTATTGCCATTGAATTAAACAATTACATTAGTGCTGAGAGTAAACTGCAGCCAATATAAATTGGATAAATAACACGTGAACATTTAACACATTTCTTATTAACAAAACTGAGTTGATATAACTGTAATATGTACATGTGTTTCAGGTGTCTGAATGTCGGGTGTGCCAGTCAGAGTGGCGACTGATAAAGCGAGAGGTTCCGTGTACTCCCATAAAGGTATTATGCCATCATTTATTGCTAATGTTACAGGTGGGCAGATAATACAGAACCTTGTTTCATTTTTGTGAAGCACACTTGAACACAGTATCAAAGGTTGTATCACATGAAAATCACATCACTGACTATGTCTAAAGCATCAAATGTCAGTAGTCCTTCAGGCACTTCACTGAGTTGGAGCATTGTGAAAGTCTTGTAGCTAATGTATGCCATATGCACATTAGTTGGATAAAAAAGAGATGCAGAAATGTACCCTAGAAGGACACAATAACAAGGAATGTTATAAAATTCATTCACTCATTTTCTACCGCTTAATCCCTGAGCGAGGTCACGGGGGGGCCGGAGCCAATCCCGGGCGGCAATCGGGCAAAGGCAGGGTACACCCTAGACAGGTCGCCAATCCATCGCAGGGCTAACACATAGACAAACAACCACACACACACGCACACACACTCCTGGGCAATTTAGAGACACCAATCAACCTAAGCTGCATGCCTTTGGGAGGAAGCCGGAGTACCCGGAGAGAACCCACGCAAGCACGGGGAGAACATGCAAACTCCACACAGAAAGGTCCCAGGTGGGGCCCGAACCCGGAACCTTCGCGCTGTGAGGCAATGGCGCTAACCACTGTGCCACCGTGCTGGCCCCTGTTATAAAATTAATAGTGTAATTTCATGATGATCATTTCTTTGAACACAGCACATTATAGCTCACACTGAATGTTGAATAAATAACAACCATGAAATTTAAATGGCTAATATAAATAAATAACAACCATGAAATTTAAATGCATCAGTGACACTGGGCCTCAGCTCCTCTAATACAGCACATATGGTGGACTTATACTGCACACATTTGAGACTAAACATGGTAAAATCAGGAAGGCGGTGGTATGCTTCAGTTATGCACTTAAAGGGCTGCTACAAGTTTTACAAGTCATCAGATGTTGCTCTTCTTGCTTTTTTTTAAGCCCCATGCATCAAAACTGTTTTGACAGAAATCAAAAGCAAGGTTCATAAGACTTGCTCTGTACATGATTATTGTCCATAAAATGCAAGAAGGAAACCCACTTTGAGTTCTGAAGATGTATCTCCAGTTGTTCAAGGCTTCATCAACTTTATTGTTCAGTGAGAAGTTGGTATGCATTTAATAAGGTGACTCACACCATGATTGTCACAGAACTTGTCTCTGCCATGTCTTTTCCTGGGTCTGTCATTTGTTGGACTTTTCTGTGGTCTGTCATTCCCCATCCAGCCTCCAGTTGTCCCCGAATTTTCCCTCACACTGTCACTCCACATCTAGTCTCTGCTGTGCAGAATTAGGTTGCAAACTGATTTATAAAAGCAAGACTGCAGTTGCTGTATTAATGACATTTTGGCTTCATTGTTCATAATGGCAAGAAATGGGAACAAGTTGTCCATCTGTATAGACTGTGTATGAACTATCCATCCATCCATCCATTTTCCTCCGCTTATCCGGGACCGGGTCGTGGGGGCAGCAGTCTAAGCAAAGATGCCCAGACTTCCCTCTCTCCAGACACTTCCTCCAGCTTCTCCGGGGGAATGCTGAGGCGTTTCCAGGCCAGCCGAGAGACATAGTCCCTCCAGCATGTCCTGGGTCTTCCCCGGGGCCTCTTCCCAGTGGGACATGCCCGGAACACCTCCCCAGGAAGGCGCCCAGGAGGCATCCGAAACAGATGCCCGAGCCACCTCAG